GCCTTCGGGTTGGGTTGGGGTGGTTTGGTGGGTGGTGACTGTCTGCCTTCTGCGCGGGGTAGGTAGCTTCGAGCGAGAGCGCGATTCCTGAGTGGATTGAGAGGGCGTCTCGGGCGCAAGTCTTATGCTGCAATAGCCTGCGGGGGGAATATCCGGCGGGAGCCCCTGCTGTTGTGGAAATTCGGGGCCCGCCGCCCGTGTCGAGGAGCGGCATCGGCGTACATTGTGCGGAAGTCTCGGGCGAGAGCGCGATTCCTGGGTAGGTTGAAAGGGCGCCCTGGGCGAAAACAGGATTTCCAGGCGTCCTGGGCGAAAACAGGAGGAGGAGGAGGAGGAGGAGAAGGAGGAGGAGGAGGAGATCTCTCAATACACTGTGAGGAAATATCCGGCGGGAGCCGCTGTTGTTGTAACTCGGGATTAACAAAACAAGGTGCGAGCCCCCCGGGGGGGGGAACACTTCAATCAGAAAAAGAAAATGGCTACCGGAAAGGGTGGACCAGCAATTATTATTCTTCAGAAGTGAAAGTCCAACGGCTCCCGCCAAATATTTCCTCATAGCGCATTGAAGAATCGCGCTCTCGCGCGGGAGTACCTCACAATTCATGTAGGACTCGCGCTTTCGCGTGGGACTCCCTCTCAATTTACTCAGACGATGCGCCCTCGGCGCTCGGGGATCACGCTCTCGCTTTGGTCTTTCTCACGATTCACTTGGGGATCGTGCTATAGCTCGAAACTTCCCCGAGATTCATGCAAGACCCGCGCTTCAGCAACCCGCTTTGCTCGACTTGGTCGCCTGGGCCCGCCGTCCCGACCCGCCCGATAGGGGCCGCCCGATAGGGGTCTGCCTGCCCGTCTGGTTATACGACTTGTTTTCAGTTTCTTGCCCTACAGCCGGGGCCCTGAAGAAGGAACCCTTCTCGTTGGGGAGGGGCTCCGCGTTCCGTAAGTGTTTCACAGCTTGCCTCAGGCTTTCCTTATGTTTTCGATCGGAAATCGAAGTTAATTCATGGAAAAGAGGGGCCTCGTTCCTTATTTGGGGTGTCTTAGGTCAAGGCCCCGACTGTATCCTGCTAATTTCTCTCGTGTTCCATCCTTCTCCCTGCCCCCTCCACCGGTCCTCCCCTCCCCTGCTTTAGGGGCTGCACAACATGCACGCGGCAGGCAAGGAAGATACACCCCCAATGGGGTACGATCGAAGACGACGAAGGCGGGTACCGAGGGTTTGGGCCATACGTATTGGATGGCACGTGAGCAGATACGAGCGAACAATATGAAACTGATTGTTGAACTCTCATTTCTGGAAACCAAAAAAATGGTTGTTGAGTCCCCCCTGCCCAATGCACATTGTACTTTTCAATTGGAGTGCCCCTCCCGGGGCTCGCACCCTGTTTTTATCATGTTTTTTTTGAACGTCAAACTGCGCCCCTGGCCCCCGAGTTACAACAAAAACGGTTCCCGCATGATACTCCCTCACTTTATTGAGAAATCAAACTTTCGCTTGAGACACCCTCGCGCTTTATTCTGGACTCGCGCTCTCGCCTGAGACTTCCTCGCAATTCATTCCGATACCACTGCTCGGCGCTCAGGAATCGCGCTCTCGCTTTGGACCCCCTCTCGCTTTGGCCCGTCGTGGCCCCATATGCATGCCTTTCGTGGCCCCGCGGTCGCCCTTCGGGGCCCTCTCGCTGCCCTTCGTGGCCCCTTTGCTAACCTCGAGTGGCCCCGCTGTCGCCCCTTGTGGCCCCATATACGCATGCTCTTCGTGGCCCCCGCTCGCTCGCGCCCGTCGTGGCCCCATTTGGCCATGCGCGGAGGGGGGTGGGGGGAGGGGGGAGGGCTTCTTAGAAGCACCCCTGCTTCTTAGAAGGCGCGGGCCTTCTCTATAGGTGTAAGGCCGGCGCCTTCTAAGAAGCAGCCTCCTTCTAAGAAGCCCCCCCCCCCCCCCCACCCCCTTGTGCGCGCCGCCAACCCATATGCATGCCCGTCGTGGCCCCGCCGTCGCCCTCTTGCGGCCCCCTCGCTCGCCTTCATGGCCCCGCGGTGCTGCCCTGAGCGGCCCCGTTGCTGGCCTCTGCGTCCCCGCCCTCGTGGCCCCCGCTCGCTCGCGCCCTTCGTAGTCCCATGCGCGCGCCCCTCGTGGCGCCGCTGTCTGACTACCTACCAAACCACCCCAACCCAACCCGAAGACCCGAACTTCGGGTTGGGGGGGGTACGGGCTCCATATGTGTTTTCTCGATGTTCCCCGACCCCCCCCCACTGGAAATGGAGGGCACATCGGGGCCTTCGGGTTGGGTTGGGGTGGTTTGGTGGGCGGTGACTGTCGCCCTTCGTGGCCCCCTCCGGATTGGGCCGTCACCTTTCTCAGCCCGGCTGCCGATGCCCTCAAATGCTCAGCCTGGCCGGAACTACCGACCAGCACTGCGCGTACAGTGTAGTGAACCTGGGGCGCTGCAAGCGCTACACAACCTGAATGTTTACAGCGTGCGCACCAGACATTCCATGACGATGCAATGCGTTTACCACTTGATCGGAAATTCCGCTTAGAAATTGCTAGAAAAATGCACTTGCTAGCAACAACCGCAAATCCCACCTTCCGACCCCGTCCGCCAACCTCAAATAGCATGCATATGTCAGCATGCTTGGTTCACTTTGGAGCCACGCCGCTCTGACAGTGAAGCCGCTGCTGCTGAAGAGCAGCCCCAATGATGGGCCGCCATCTCTCCAGCGTGTCTGACAAGACCCTTTTGAACCCAGAACTGTACAGCAACCAGTGATACGGGAATCTTGCCCAACATGTGGTGCCATATTCTGGCCCTCGGGCACGGGATGCGTGGGGACTCTAGGAATTGACTTCTGCGGCTCTCTCAACCACGGCCAGGGTTCACGCCATGTCTGGAGAGCCATCCAGTCATCTGATGCTTCGCGCTGTAAAGCGACTTTGGATTGGAGGCCTGCCCGCGGATTCTTAGAATCTCTGCGCGTGGCTAGTTCCAGTGCGCCGAAGGAAAATCGGAAGACACTGGACTTACCAGCACTTTCTGGTCTGACGGTTCCAGAAAGAACTTCGCGTCCAAGAAGCCCGTGACCTTGAACCTCGGGCCCTTAAAAAGGTAACATCGGATATGCTTATCTCCAACCAATCCGTCTTGTCCACTTCAACGACAGAGTCTTCAGAAATCAATTCGTGGAGCTTTACTGTGAAAGTCATGTACCCAGTAACGTTTCGGATTGCCAGCGATTTGTCGTCCCTGTACCTGGAATCATCGAAAATGCCGAACTCCGATGTTTGAGCTGCGTTTGCCGCCCAATGCCGCTCTGCCATGCGGTGCAGGTACAAATCAGACAACTCATCGGAATGTGCTTGCCCGATGCTTGAGCCCAGAGCAACTCTCCAGATCTCTTCTTGGAGCAGGGTGCTCTGGACGTATTGATGATACAAAACGAATTCCAAAACATCTTTTAGCACACCCCGTTGGTTTTCCATGCGCGTGGCACCCACACCGTCGAGAATTTTTCGGTGCCCGCCATTCAAATAGAAATGCTTGAGATCCAGCTGGATGAAGGCGAAGTGGTTGCCATATCTTTTGCCGGTTACAGTTTTTGGCCAGATCCTCTGTGTTCCTGATCAGGTGTGGCCACAGCTGATCAACGAACAATGTCTTGAATACGCTGCCCAAGCCAGCAAACAAATGTGTAGCGAGGAGGAGTGGATGAGGCGTGCAGAGATTTTGCCAACAGCTTTTCTTTGCAGCGCACAGAAGGTTGACACCAAGCTGCCTCCTCTGCATTTGGCCAAACATGTCGTACTAACGCCCTCAATTCCTCATCGCCAAGAGCGTCGGCGACCTTGGAGCATATCTGGGTGCATGCTGGCATGATGCTATTGGCATTTTGGTAATTGTCTTACACGTAGTGGTCGCTGAATAATTGTTCTTTGACTAGCTCTCGCATGTCCTCGTATCGTATGAAGACTGGGCCTCCATCTTTGTCGGTTGGAGCGGTGGTGCACGAAGGTTGGGACAACCAGGTTGCCGCCCACGGCAAGGCAGCATTCACGTTACCCCACCATTTTCGTTTGCCCCTCTGTGCTGACGTAGCGCGGGCCACTCCTTGAGACACGCTACGAGCTGAATCGTTGCAGAAAGCATTGGTCTCTGCTCGTTGCACCTGCGTGCAGGGGCCCGCTGCTGCCCTCAGCGGCCCCGTTGCTGTCCTCTGTGGCCCCGCATTATATGCCCTCGTGGCCCCCGCTCGTTCGCGCATTTTGTGGCCCCATACGCATGCCCCTTGTGGCCCCGCTGTCGCCCTTCGTGCCCCCCTTGCTCCCCTCCGTGGCCCCTTTGCTGCCCTCAGTGGCCCCGCTGTCGCCTTTTCTGGTCCCATATACGTATGCTCTTCGTAGCCCCCGCTCGTTCGCGCCCGTCGCGGCCCCATCTGCGTGCTCTTCGTGGCCCCGCTGTCGCCCTTCGTGGCCCTCTCGTTGCCCTTCGTGCTCCATCCTCCTCCCTCCCCCTTGTCCCGTCCTTCCATCCGTTCTTCCCCTGCCTGAAGGGCTGCACACAATACACGTTGCAGGAAAGGTAAACCCCTAAGGTGGGAACGATCGGATACGAAGAGGGCGGGTATCGAAGGTTTGGGATAGACGTGTTGGATGGCACGCAAGCAGACAAGAGCGAACAATCTTGAACTTCATGTTGTTGCTGTTGTTGTCTGTTGCGTATTGCTTGTTGTCACCGTACTCGCCCACGCCCCGCCCACGACCCACCCGCACCCCGCCCACGACCCGCCCGCGACCCACCCGCGAACCAGCCTCGACCCTCCCGCGACCAACTCGCCACCTACCAGCGACCCACCCGCGACCCACCCACAATGCTTTGACGAAATGTGTAATGTGTGGAAACTCGGCGCCTGCGGCGGGCTTCATCAGAGCTTCGCAGACTGCCACGATGCTGCTGCCCCCATCACTCCCATCCACACCCGCGGGGGCGATTGCATTTTTTCTGCACGCTCGTTCACCCTAATTACCATGCCATCATCCCAACCAAGTCCGTATCGCTCAACCGTATCCTGCAACACACCTTGACCGCGTGAACGTGCATTGATCTGCCACCGTGCCGCGAGGCACGAATTGGAGTGCGTATCCTCAGGTCCCTCAAAGTCCTCCGTCCTTAATCCTGAGGCTTCTTTAGAGGGCCCACGCCAAAGAATTCTGGGCGGTTCGGGGTGTTCCTCGCTCTCCCCGGCGCTGCCGGGTCTTGTCGCATGAATTTTGGGCGCCCGAGTTATCCGGGGTAACTCGGGTCCGGGGTAACTCGGGTTTGGATTCCCGAAAAACGAACCCGAGTTATCCCTGACCCGAATTACCCCTCATGAGTCGGGGCTCTGGACGCCTGAGTTATCCGGGGTAACTCGGGTCCGGGGTAACTCGGGTTTCGATTCCCGAAAAGCGAACCCGAGGTATCCCTGACCCGAGTTACCCCTCATGAGTCGGGGCTCTGGACGCCTGAGTTATCCGGGGTAACTCGGGTCCGGGGTAACTCGGGTTTCGATTCCCGAAAAACGAACCCGAGTTATCCCTGACCCGAGTTACCCCTGATGAGTCGGGACTCTGGACGCCTGAGTTATCCGGGGTAACTCGGGTCCGGGGTGACTCGGGTTTCGATTCCCGAAAAATGAACCCGAGTTATCCCTGACCCGAGTTACCCCTGATGATTCGGGGCTCTGGACGCGCCTGAGTTATCCGGGGCAACTCGGGTCCGGGGTAACTCGGTCTTCGATTCCCGAAAAGCGAACCCGAGTTATCCCTGACCCGAGTTACCCCTGATGAGTCGGGGCTCTGGACGCCTGAGTTATCCGGGGTAACTCGGGTCCAGGGTAACTCGGGTTTCGATTCCCGAAAAACGAACCCGAGTTACCCCTGACCCGAGTTACCCCTGATGAGTCGGGGCTCTGGACGCCTGAGTTATCCGGGGTAGCTCGGGTCCGGGGTAACTCGGGTCTCGATTCCCGAAAGACGAACCCGAGTTATCCCTGACCCGAGTTACCCCTGAGGAGTCGGGGCTCTGGACGCCCGAGTTATCCGGGGTAACTCGGGTCCGGGGTGACTCGGGCTTCGATTCCCGAAAAACGAACCCGAGTTATCCCTTACCTGAGTTACCCCGGACCCGAGCCAAGATGGCTAATTGTGGAGGAGGAGAGGAGAGGAGGAGGAGGAGGAGGAGGAGGAGGAGGAGGAGGAGGAGGAGGAGGGGGAGGAGGAGGGGGAGGAGGAGGGGGAGGAGGAGGAGGAGGAGGAGGAGGAGGAGGAGGAGGAGGAGGAGGGGGAGGAGGCCCCGAGTCGGGGCTCTGAGAATTGGTCCGAGCCAAGATGGCGAAGGGCGCACCGAGAGGGCCCACACATGCCCCTAATTAAGGCGGTCCAAGGGCGCCCCGGGTCGCCCAAGGATCGCCCCCAGATGCCAATGATCGTCCTCCAGGCGGCCCGCGAACCCCCAAGACGCTCCAGGAGGGCTCCAGGAGGGCTCCAAGAGGGCTCCAAGAGGGCTCCAAGAGGGCTCCAAGAGGGCTCCAAGAGGGCTCCAAAGAGGGCTCCAAGGGCGCCCACGATGTCCTCCAGGCGGCCCACGAACCCCCAAGACGCTCCAGGAGGGCTCCAAGAGGGCTCCAGAGAGGCCGACATCAATGCTGTTCCGTAGTGTTTGAAGGATGTTAGCGTTCTCGCATTGTCAGGCTTGCGACGCTCCAGGACGGCCCAAATATTTCCAAGATCGCCCCAAGACGCCCAAGAGGCCCCCAAGGGGCCCCAGACGGCCCAAGAGGGCCCCAACACGATCCAGGAGGCCTCCAACATGGCTCCAAGAAAAACCCAAGAGAGGCCCCAGATAGAGAACACACACCGACATGTTGAGCTCTCCGTTCCAAGACGATCTCCGAGACCGCCAGCAGGCCCCCCAAAAAGCCCCCCGGAGGCTCCAGGAGGCCCAAATCAGGCCCCAAGAGGCCCCCCAAGCGGCCACAGAGAGGCCCCAAAGACACTCCAACACCGCCTCCAAGATGCTCCCGAGATGCCAGCGAACATATCCCCACAAGCATCCAAGACGCCACTGGCCTAGAACCAATGCTTGTGGTGGCGGGATGGGCCGCAGGCTAACACACTCACACGCACACGCGCTTACACGCGCTTACACACACACTTACACACAGACATGCACACACTTACACATACACACTTACACACTTCCACACTTACCCACTTACCCACTTACCCACTTACACACCTGCACGCTTACACACTCACACGCTTGCCCACTTAGCCACTTACCCACTTACGCACTTACAGACTTACGCACACCCGCACATACTCCCGCACACACACAGTAACACACAAACATACACACACGCACGCACGCGCACATACACGCACACGCACGCACACACCAACACATACACACACGCACACACAAACATGCCGACGCACGCACACAGACACACGAACACATATGCATGCACACACTCACGCACACGCACACGCTCCCGCACCCACATACACGCGTGCACGCCACCACACCCACACGCGCACATCCACACTCACACCCACATTCCCACACACCCAGACACCCACACACACAAACTAACACAAACGTGCAAGCACACAAGCACACAAGCACAGAAGCACACACACACACGCACACACACAAGCACACATAGACACACACGCACACACGCGAACACACATGCATGCACACACTCACACACACACACGCACGCACTCCCGCACACACACACATACACGCACACACGCCACCACACCCACACACGCGCATCCACCCTCACACCACCACACCCACACACCCAGACACCCACACACCCACTAAAACAAACATCCAAACACACAAGCACACAAACCCACACACATACACACACTTACACACAAGCACACATAGACACACACACGCACACACGCCAACGCACACGCGCACATACACACGCACACGCACCCACACATGTTTTGGCGGTCGCGGCCTCGGGCGCAACGACGAGGCGGAGAACGTCACCACACACACACACCCACATCGGCACACACAATACACAACACAGACTGCAGAACACACAGCACACAATCATAAGCACACACACACACACCTTACGTCACACACGACACGCACAGGCACACACACATCGACACAGATACAGAGACACAGACACAGACGCAACACGGACGCATGCACAGACACATATACACAAACACAGCCACCTACACACAGACACAGACACACGCACACACACGCACACACATACCCACACACACACACACAACACACGCACGCACACACACACACCACACTCGCGCACACACACAACATTCACTCCACACGGATGCATATGTATACGCACATGCATATGTGTGTTTGCAGATTTGTTTGCGCCTCGGCCTCGCGCGCAGCGTCGAGGCGTAGAACATTGGGAGAAGTAACGCAGCAAATGGCACGCATAGGCTCGCACCCACACACACACAGACACAGACAGACAAAGACAAGCGGACCGACAGACACACACACAGACAGACACACAGACAGACACACAGACTCACACAAAGCCACAGACACAGCCACAGACACAGCCGCAAACGCAAACACAGACACCGGCACAGACACACAGACACAGACACCTACGTACACACAGACACAGACACACACAAACACACACACACACACACCACACACACACTACACACACCGCGCATAATCTTATATGCGTATATTCCCCAATCAGTGCTTGCACTGAACGTGTCCTAACAAAGATTGACGGACTTGGCGAAAACGCTGGGCCGATTTCGGTGGGCGGCCGGGTTCCTGGTTCCCAGATTTCAAGTTCCGGGCTCCGGGCCGACTTCGGTGGGCAGCGGGGTTCCCGGGTTCCCGTGATCCTGGTCGATCTTCTTATGGATCGGGTTTACCATCGATGTCATTATTCACCTCTCTATCGACCTCACGGAGATCACAATCGATCTCAATATCGGTATCACAATCGATCTTACTATGGATCGCACGATCGATCTCACGATCGATCTCATTGAAGCGGCTTCAATATCGGTCTCACGATCGACCTGGCAATCGTCCTCACTATCGATTCCACTATCGACCCTGCTATGGATGTCACAATCGATGCAAATATCCATACCACTAACTTAAAACCATCCACTGGTTGGGGTGTCTCTTCGGTGTAGTATATACACATATATACATACACATATATATAGAGAGAGAGAGAGAGAGACAGACGTTTTTGCGCCTTGGCCTCGCGCGCAACGTCGAGGCGTAGAACATCGGGAGAAGCAACGCAATACAAGGCACACACAGACATTCACACACAAACATACACACAGACACAGGCAGACATAGACACAGACAGGCAGCCAGAGACAGTCAGACAGTCAGACAGACAGACACAGACAGGCAAACGCAGATAGACATCGGCAGACAGACAGACACAGGCAGGCATGCACACAGACATACAGTCAACACGTATGATAAGGACGCACGATAAGGATGCAAGGGTCTCCGACGGCCATGTCGACACTTTGCGAGCGGGGCGCGGCCAGCGAAAGCGGCCAAGGATGGGCCGAAGGGAGGGATGCAATGGCAACCTTGGAAAGGTTGACTGTACTGACGCTCACGCACACACGCACACATGCTTACACATAGACGCATACACTCCTCACACACAACACACCACAGACACGAACACATACACACATATACACACATAAGCACGCCCACATATACACACATACACACAAACACAATACACACACACAAACACACACAAACAAATAACCACACCCAAACCCACACCCCCCCACACACACACCACACCACCACACCAAGACACACAGACACACAGACGCACAGACACATTCGCACACACGCACAAAAGCACACGCATGCATACACACACGCACGCACGCGTTTGAAGTACATACGCTGGCTGATATGTTGCAAGAACAACGCTTGGTTCGGATCGCAAGAAAATGAGCTTCGGCCGGGACGGAATGTTCGCCGCAAGGTGGATGAGAGGTGGGCGTGTGTTGTAATGTCCTTGGCGATCCGATCCGGACAGTCCCGCGTCGTGCCAAGGCACCTGATGAATGGCTAAGTGCCGTTGGCCTTCTGGGATTGGTGGTCAGAGAGAATAAACCATGGTTGGGGGAAAGAGCAGCTGGAGGCCCTGGTCGTGCACCTCGACCGTCTCGTTGTGAACCATGAAAGTACTAGCCGGTCTGCCGACCCGGCAACCCTCGTGTGGGTGACGCCGCAGCCGTCTCACTTTCGAGAGGGCTTAATGCGTGGCTTGATGGAGCTGGTGACAAACGCACGAACACACATACGCACACACACAAACACGCACACGCACGCACACACGGACACACACATATTCACACAAACACACACAGACACACTCTCACAGACACACACTCACAGACACACACTCAAAAACTCACACACAGACACACAAACACACAGACACACAGACACATACACACAGACACCCTACAAGCACACACGCACATACCTTTTCGTCGGCGGCGAGGCAGACGCGCTGCTCCAGCGGGCTGGCACACACACGCACACACGCACACACGCACACAGACAAACGCGCACACACGCACACACGCACACACGCACACAGACACACATACACGCACACAAACATGTGCACCCATTGTGTCTGCTCCTGTAAGGCGCCGACGGGTTCTGATCGACGGTTCAAGAGATATCGAGGCGGAACGCTCAACGTTCGCCAGCACAACGGTCCAAAGGCGTGCTAAGAATGTCCGGTAAGAGTTTCACAGTGCTTCTGATTCGCGCGCGCGGGGCGGCCCCCGGGGGGTCCCATGACGAAGCGTGCCCAAGCCTGGCCCCGGCGGGGTCGGGCCACGGACGCCGGAACGCCTGGGCGTGGTCCCTGGGGCCCGCGGGGCGCCCAGCCCAAGAGGGCCCCAAGACGGCCCCAAGGGGGCCCCAAGACGGTCCAGGTCCAAGAGGCCTCGCCAGAGGGCTCCAGAGGCTCCCATGAGGGCCCCAAGAGGGGGGGGGGAACAACTCGAGCAGACACGTCGAGCCTTCCCCCAAAAGTGGGCTCCCGAGACCGCCAGCAAACACCCAAGAAGCCCTCAAGGGGCCCTCGGAAGCCCAAAGGATGCCCCACGGGGCCCCCAAGAGATCCGGGGAGGTGCCAGAAATGCCGCCACGAGGTCCCCGAGGGGCCTCCCAGGCGACCCCAAGGGCCTTCCAGAGAGGCGTCTTTCCCGCGGCCCAGCGTGGTCCCCACAATGCCCCAAGAAGCCGTCGAGAGGCCTCCTCCTCCTCCTCCTCCTCCTCCTCCTCCTCCTCCTCCCCTATCGAGTCGCTACTCTTCTTCTCGCCCGCCATGGGCCGGCGGAGTGAGCGGAGCGATGTGATGAGTTGGCAACCTTACGCGGGAGCGCTCGCACACACACAAGCACACAAGCACACAAACACACAGACACACAAACACACAAACACACAAACACACAAACACACGAACACACATGCACACAAACACACAAACACACAAACACACAAACACACAGACACACAGACACACAAGCACACAAGCACACAAACACACAGACACACAGACACACAAACACACAAACACACACAAACACACACAAACACACAGACACACAGACACACAGACACACAGACACACAGACACACAGACACACAGACACACAGACACACAGACACACAGACACACAGACACACAGACACACAGACACACAGACACACAGACACACAGACACACAGACACACAGACACACAGACACACAGACACACAGACACACAGACACACAGACACACAGACACACAGACACACAGACACACAGACACACAGACACACAGACACACAGACACACAGACACACAGACACACAGACACACAGACACACAGACACACAGACACACAGACACACAGACACACAGACACACAGACACACAGACACACAGACACACAGACACACAGACACACAGACACACAGACACACACACACACACACAAACACACAAACACACAAACACACAAACACACAAACACACACACACGCACAAACACACAAGCACACAAGCACACAAGCACACAAGCACACAAACACACAGACACACACACACAGACACACAGACACACAGACACACAAACACACAAACACACAAACACACAAACACACAAACACACAAACACACAAACACACAAACACACTCTCACGCGGAACAAAAACAGCCCACACACACCGCAAGACGATCGCGGGGGGGCAACGGCGCGAGACAACCGCCGCTCGGGACCGCTGCACCGGGACGGCCCCGAAACGGCAACATGACAACCGCGGGGTGCCCCGACCGTCCCCTCCCACCGGGGACCGGGAGAACGTCTTGACGGCTTGCTCTAGCAGCGGGTGGCGATCCCCTCCAGCCCGCACGCGCACCCTCGCTTTGCCTGCGCCCCCTGCTCTCCGACACGGGTGTTTACAATCGGACTGCCGCGAGGGTCTCGAGACTGCAGTCCTGAAAATAAGCGATATGTTTAGCCGCGGGCGCGGGCGAGAGGGTGGAGACGGGGTCTCGAGACTGCAGTCCTGTGAATATATTCAGCCGCGGGCGCGGGCGAGAGGGTGGAGACGAGGAGGGGACGAGAGGCGATCAGGACGGCTGCTAGAAACAAGGCGAGGTTTCCCGCCCAGAAGTCCTAGGGCGCCATCATCAGCACACGAAAACATTCTTTGAAGGGAGCTTTGCCCTCGAGGACGTCCAGCACTCTCAAACATAGCGCGATCTGTGGGAGGATTGGCAAGCTGCAGCAGCTGTCGCCCATCCCGGATCCTGGTCTCAGGTCGGGAGTCCCCCTACAGGGGGATGTTGGGCGAACAATGCAACATACAACAAACAACTTTAACAACAAATCAAGCATAGTCAAACATTCGTCCCCAGACTATTCTTGACTATTTTGGAATCTTCGTCCTGTAGAGGGACAGGCCCGACTTAATCCTGGTCCCTCGAAGCAAGCGGCTGCTGACGCAGCTGCTTCTCAGCGAGCGCCCTCCGAGACAGCCGAGACGCGCAAACACAAATACAGAGGTCTCTTTGGTTGTCCCCGTTCCTGCGGCCGCAACCGTGGATCGATAGATCAGCGCGTTCCGCTACTTGCAAAGTCACTACTCGCAAGTGGCCTGGATCCGCCGCGGGGGATCTACCATAATTTACATCGAAACGGACACGTGCTTTTCGGACGTTTGCGAGTAGGCACTCTGCGAGTAGTGGTACGCGCTCGGTGAATCAATGATTGAAATATCGCGCGATAACGGCTTCTACATCCTCTCGATTGTCTTCGGCGGTGAGCGTAGCGACGACCTCGCCCAAGAATCTGCCGTAGTCGAAGAAACTGCCGAAGCTGTAGCCCGCCGCCGGCAGCCCGATGGTCACGTTGACGGACTCGACAGAAACCACATCGAGTGTAATTCTCTGGCCAGCCTCGATCCCGAACCACGGGTTCTGCACGGTGGTGCACTCGAGGGTGCCGTGGGCGACCGCGGACAGGAACTCTGTGTCGGGCTGCGCCGGGATGCGCTTCATAGTCTCGACGAAGCCTTCAACCTGGTCAATCGGCGGCTCCTCTCGGCGACTCCAAAGGGTGTGGCTTGCAAAGGGTGTGGTTTGCAACCGGCACCCTGGGGAACATCGAGGGGGGCACCCTAGTGGGCGCGCGGGGGCCTCCATAGAGTTCTCCCACGCCCCGAGGAGGCCTGACGAGGACAATGTCGTGCCCCCCAGGCCCCAACGATGCCAATCGCAAACCACACCCCAGCGTAACCATACCCTTTGTAGTCGCCGATCCGCACAGATAACCCGCACCGGGTTATTCCCGGGTCGGGGGAACAAATTTGTGAGGTCTCTGTAGGCGTGGGTGAGAGACGTGTTTGTGAGGTCCGTACTCAGAAGCACTGTCACCCTTGAGGCGCCCGCGGCTACAGCGTTGACCAAGCCAGTTACGTCAAGGTTGCCGCCGTCACCCAGGGCAAGCAATCCAGCCTGTGCGGGCGAGTCCGCGCCTTGCGTCACGTTGCTGCCGCTGCCGCTGGCGAACAGCTCAGCCCGCACCTCCTCCCCACCGGAGAAGGCCTTGCCATTCGGAGACCCGTCAACCCACACAGCCAGGTCGAAACACGACTGTGTGGCGTCGAAGCCCGTCACGCCCATGACCCACTGGAAGGCGGAGGAGGCAGCAGAGACCGGACCGATCGGCAAGCTGCTCACATTCGTTTCAAACGCCAGATTGAACTGCGTGCCCAGGGGCCCCGACTCGGCCGAGTCGCCACTGCTGCCCTGAGCATAATGCAGCGAAGTTCCAAAGCAAGACGGGTCTCCACAGAACGTCATCGGCGCACTCTCCCCACCCAGCTCGACGCCTGAGCGGACGGAATAGCTGAACCTCGCCGGGAGCAAATTAGCAGCGAGATGGGTCTCACTCGTCTGAACAGTGTAAAACAAATCAGAGGCCTCACCAGGAGGATTGAACACGGCAACCTCCGTGAAATTAGGCAGCCCGAAACCACCAAACTCTAATGGGTTCACCTTGTCGGTGAAGTTGTGCTGGAGTGGCAGGCGCTTCGGCTGCGGGACAGGCAGCGTGACGGTATACAAGAACTCCTTCCCCTCGGCCCACGAGTTGGTACGGCTGCCCAGCGTCATCGCGGGGCTGATGCCAGCTGTCCTGTCGTTCATCACCTCAACGAACCGGGTCCAAGTTAGGGGCACCCCCACTTCCGCCAGCGAAGTCACAGCCGATATGATATACTCTATGAATTCGCAGGGCCCCTTGGGGCTGTTCAGCGTGTTGGACATTTGTGCCCCCCTCGAAGCCTCTCTCCTGGAAGACCTGTCCCGCTGTTTTGGGAGGGGGGCGCTGGGGAAGGGTTCCGAGTGGTCCGTACGTTGCATCGATGTACAAGTAGCTCCAAGATGGCCCACAATGGATAAAGAGGGCCCCCCGATGGCGCAGTAGGGTCAATCTGGGCCATCGATGACATCTACAGGCTCGGGAAGAATTCTCCGAACGCCACGTCGAGGCACGAACAGCAGCCGCGCGACAAATGCATGCCGCTGCGCCCCACCGGCCCCAGAAACTTCGAACCACGGCCCCCCTGCGGAGGGACCCCCCTCGGGCCAACTCCAGTGGACCAAGTTGTTTCACAGTGCAGATGGACTGGATCAGGCTTGGGCGCTTCGCCAGGGACATCCTCTGAATGCGCCTGGCTCGGCTTGCTTTTCGGGTCGGGCGAAAGGGGGGGATAGCAAAGGGGGGGTTTGAGAATCAGCTCACGTAGCTGAGTTCCCCGGCGCCTCCCGGCGCCGGAGGCGCCCATGTATCGAGGAATGGGCCCGGCGGCGGGGCCGAAACCAGCTGCATGCAGCAAATTTCGTAACCCCCCCTTTCCCAATCCCCCCCTTTCGTCCGGCCCGATCATAGTGAGGATGGACTGGACCAGGTTTGGGCGCTTCGCCAGGGACATCCTCTGCATGCGCCTGGCTCGGCTTGCTTTGGCCAGGCCCGGCGGAACGCCCCGCACTCGGACGTTCTCGGAATCAATAGGGAGCAAACGAACCTACCTCGCTTTTGACCACCCTCGCTTCCAAGAGATACCAAGCGATGCCAAACTGTGGCATGTACTGGTCAGGCCGCTTGACGAGGAGGCGTATGGTATGACTTGGTTTTGCCTGGAAGCGAGAGCGGGGTAGGTAATTCACGCTCTGAATCAACGCGGTTGGACCTGGTTCGGGCGCGGTCTCGCCGGATGCGTGCTCGCACTGGTGGCGTTCTCGAGGCCCGGCTTGCGGAGCAGCCCCGCCCCTTGAAAGAGCCCGTGGGAGCCGCTTGCAAGGACGCTTGAGAGGATGTCGGGGGAGCTTGTATGACTACCTACCAGACCACCCTTTCCCAACCCGAAGACCCGAATTTCGGGTTTGGGGGGTTAAGAGTTCCACGTGTGTTTTTTCGATGTTTCCCGACCCCTCCCCCACTAGAAATCGACTGTAAATTCGAGCCTTCGGGTTGGGTTGGGGTGGTTTGGTGGGTGGTGATTGTAAGCTCGAGAAGGGAGCTGCGCAGGAGACCAGGAAGAACTTCGAAGGAGCTGCGGAAAGCAAACGCATTGGGAATGAATCGGGAAACGCACCCGGAACACGCAGCAACCTCAAGCGGCCTGCTGCCAGGTTCCCTCCCCGGCGCCAGAAACACCTCTGGGGCTACCCGGTGCTGCCGGCCTCTAATCTCGAGCCCTCTTGACTCTCAGAGATCTGTCCGGGAACATTGCTTGGTTTTGCCTGGTTCGGCGCGTTTCTTGAGACTGGCCTCGTTGGGCCTAGCTTGGATGCGGTTTCGCCTGGACGTCTTTACGATTTGCCTAGTTTAGCATGATTCGGGCGCCGTTTCGCTAGTCTTCTTCAGGACCTGGGCTTCGCGCGCCGCGTCTTCATAACTTGCCTGATTTCTGGCGGTTCGGGCGACAGATCCCAGCGTCGCAAGGTAGAATGCGGGTGCAAACTGATCGGTGTAAGCTGTGTGGTGCAAGTCAAGTCGGCGAAGTTGCGCGGTGTAAAGTATGTTGTGTAATTCACTTCGTCTGTCTTGAAGCTGTCCTCTCCACTGCTCGTGCAAACATCCCACCCTCCCACCCGCAACTTGGTCGCAAGACATCTTCAGACCACGACGGTGGATACCAAATGGCACTTGGCGACGACAGCGACGCCGACGACGACATCGACAACAACGACGACGAGACTACGACGACACCGACGACGGATCCGACGACGACGACGAGGATAACGACGACGACGACGACAAAGGCGGCGACGCCGACGACGACAATGACGACGACGACGACGCCGACGACGACGCCGACGCCGACGACGACGACGATGACGACGCCGACGACGACGACGGCGACGACGACGCCGACGACGAGGACGACGACAACGCGGACGACGACGACGCCGACGGCGACGACGACGACGACGACGCCGACGACGACGACGACGACGTCACTAACGAAGACGACGACGACGAATGAGGAGGGGGACGACGACGGCGACAACGACAACAACGACGAGGGAGGAGGGAGGACGGCGACGACGCGAACGACGAAGAATGGGGGAGGACGGCGACGCCGACGACGACAACGACGAGGGAGGAGGGAAGACGACGACGACGACGACGACGACGACGGCGACGAAATAGGAGGGACGACGGCGAGACGCCGACGACGGACGACGACGACGACGACGAGGGAGGAGGAGGAGGGACGACCACGGCGACAACGACGACGGAAACGACCACGACGCCAAAGAGGGCGACGACGACGAACACGAGGAACGACAGAGGACGACGTAGGCGACGACGACGACGACGCGGGAGGAGGGAGGACGGCGACGACCACGACGACGACGACGCAAGAGCGCGCGCGCACGCTTATGATGAAAATCCGTGTTGCGAAATATGGTGTATGTTTTTTGGACGCACGATGTTGACATCCTTCCGAAGCCGATGGGTTTTGAAGGATTTCGGCATACGCGCGCGACGGCGCGCGCGTCTGCACTTCGTCCCATTTGTTGCAAAACATTTTCGCGACGGCACACGCGCAAGGGCGCTCGACACATTTCGACATGCGCGCGCGAAGCCCGTTTGGTAGCATTTTGTGAAAATCGTTTTTTTTTTTTTTTTTTTTTTTTTTTTTTTTTTTTTTTTTTTTTTTTTTTTTTTTTTTTTTTTTTTTTTTTTTTTTTTTTTTTTTTTTTTTTTTTTTTTAAAAAAAAAAAAAAAAAAAAACCTATGGTTTTCTCAAGACTTTGTAAGAGCTCGCGCGTAAGCTTTTTAAACCACTCTGCGTTGCGAAATTCATTGTTGTTCTATGTTTTTGGGAAGCTCGATTGCGAAATCCTTCCGACACCGAAGGTTTTTGGAGGATTTCGGCATGCGCGCGCGACGGCGCGCGCGTGTGCACTTCGTTCAATTTGTTGCAAAGGATTCGTGCACAAGTGCTATGCTCGATCAAAAAATGTTCCCGCGTATCCTTTTCACATGGGAACCTCAGGGGGGTCGATACCGGCCCCCTTGGGATACCGCAGATTCATATATAGGATGGACATGTGGTCAGAATCGTCGTTGATTTACATACCCGAAAAGGGGGCCGATAACGCCGGGGGGGGGGAGAGTCTATGTTTTAAAAAGGAGAATCTATGTAGTGCGCACTCGACAATACGTGACTGGCTGCAAGCCAGCGTTGGCCCTGAGGTCGGCGCTAAGAGAAAACTATCCTGAGCCTGTCGCATGCACCCAGGAAGCCTAAACGCGGCTCCGACATGGTTCGAAGTAGCCAAGAAACTCCCCTGATAAGCTTGGGAAACCATTGTGACGGCCGGCGCCGCCGACCCTGAAAGACATCGACGACGACCAGGAGGGGGAGGGGGAGGAGGAGGAGGAGGAGGAGGAGGAGGGGGGGGAGGCGGAGACAAGGAGGAGGAGGAGGAGAAGGAGGAGGTCAAGGACTCCCCCCTGGGCCCCCCTCCGCTGGGGAGGAGGGCCAGGGCCGCGCGAGGCCCGGCGTGGGAAAAAGGCAGGGGAGGGGGAGCAGGCCCCCAGGGGCGAACGCGCATCTGACTTCCCCCCCCTTTGGCCTGGGACCCGTCTCCGCCCGGGGAGGAGGGCCCGCGGAGGACTGGCGCGCCCGAGAAGGACCGGCGCAGGAGGGGAGGACCCCAGAGGCGATGCGAATCTGACCCCCCCCCTTCCCAGACAATTTTTTGACTATTTTTGAATATTCCTCCTGTTGGAGGACACGCCCGACTGAACGTTAGCGGGGCCTACCTGCGTTCCCTGAGGGCTTGGCGACTTTTCGCCAATCGGCTTGTGGGGATCGGGCCAGAGAGATCCAAGGCGGGTGCAGACGACTCGAGGTACAACCGGGCAGACCGAGGCACATCCAAGCGAGTCCTGGGACCCCCTCCGCCGCTGGGGGAGGGACAGAAGGGAGGGGCTTCCGTTTGACGCAAGGACGACGTGGATGGGATCCCCTCAAGCTGCGAATCCGTTCCCCGAACGAGGAAGTGTGTTCTTTCTCTCTCTCTCTCTCTGTCAGTCTGTCTGTCTGTCTGTCTGCCTGCCTGTCTGTCTGCCTGTCTGTCTGTCTCTCCCTTTTTTTGTTCTCTCTCTCTCTCTCTCTCTATCTCTCCCGACGGGAGAGGAGCCGCCCCCGTGGTGAATCCTGGTCGTAGGCTAGCACCTTGTGCGTCAGCTACTCCAGGATGTTCCTGAAAGCTGGATGTCGACGAACGCTGTGTTTCAACCTTCCTAATATAATCTAATTAGCGAATTCGGAGGTCGAGTTCGGGGGCAAGCGAAGGATCTGATTTGCAGCATGAATATAGTCTAGGGCAAAAGTGTGCTCGACGAGCGAATTCGGACATGGCAATTCGAAACGATGCGAACGACAATTGCACATGCGACACGAGCCCAACGAATCAGGATGGGCACTGAACAGAGATTTGACGCATGGAACAATTGCTGGGCAAGTGAGGTCACGAGCTTGGGAGCCGCTACCGATATTCGCACAGCCAGACACACATCTCGAGACGGGCCGGCGATGCCGAGCGCAAGTGTTCCAAGAGTTACACATAGACTGAATCAATGACGCGGACATATTGTCAGGCAGTTTCTTGGTTATAACACATTGTCTGACAAAAATTAAAAACAGGCTTTGGCCGAAGACATCGGGACCCCATTTTAAAATCCGGGGCTTTTAAA